GAGAAAGGAGAAAGTGGCATCATGGACATAAGAGTCCAAAATTAGCAAAGAAGACCCAAATATTTCCAAGTGACTTCAGAACTTAAATTTCAGGACTTATGCATATAATGTCTGAGAATGTACACTGGGGTACTGCAACAAGTGTTTATGCCAGCTATTTTTTTTTTTATCTAAAAAATATTGTTTGATATGACTTAACTTTTAGTTTCTAAACACCCGTAATCTGTGGAATGGCAGTGTCGGATTGTTTGTCAGTCCATCACTTCGGTCCAGTCTGTAGCATTTAATCAACTGTTAGAAGGATTGCCATAAAGCTCTATGAACATGCTAGATGTTAGCATTTAAAATATTTCTGTAAATATAGCCTCACAGAGTCACTATTGCTGTCTTGTTTCCACCCAGAATGGAACTGTAAAGTGTTTCCACAAAATTATTATTGCAATAGTAACCCCTGTCTAAATAGGCCTATGAAGAACTTGATAAAATGGCTCGTGAGACAGCAGTGACCATCAGTGACCATAAAGTACTCTCAACAGAAGTGTAATCTTTCTAGCACCAACCCTCTCAACAGTGAGGCTGTAAGGAGGAGCGACACTCAGGCCTTTGTCAATTTTTCTCTTTTTGTTTAGTCAGGCCCGTCTGAGACTGTGCTCCCTCATCTAGTTGGCGTTCCAATTTTGACCCAAAGCAGAGTCTTGGCAAGTGAACCAGGCTGAAATATTATCTACAAATGCACATATTCACATGAACAGTTATGGGGAGCTTCAGTGCGCTGGTGCTGAGGTGTAAAGCAGCATATGTCACACTAACCCTGTTTAACTCATACCCAGCTTACTGTGCATTGCAAATTTAAAAAACCTTGAATACCCTCACCCACTGAAATCTTTTGCATCTGGTCTTTCTCACCAAGTGAATGGGGACCATGGGGATGCAAGCGTTTTTAAAGCAAATGTTTATAATTCCCGCCATAGCATAGTATAGCTTTGCTGAGCAACAGTGAGGGAATAATAGCGTAATTGTAATTATTTTATTGAACCACTGAACTTTTGGGTATTGTGGTTTTACAGCCTCCTGTAAAGTAGTTACTGTTGTAAACTTGTTAGATTGTTTTAATGACAGTGTTTCATTTTTTTATTTATTTGGGCAAGATTCAACTGAATAGAATCAGCACAGATATTTTAACAACAGAGGTTTAACAGTTGTGTTTGTGGGGAAAATGTTTCAATAAATCTACAATGCCCTCTTAACAACACCTCCATTCAAGCAGGTGTTATCCGGGTCTTTTGTCTATTTCAAAGTTGCTTTTTAAAGCGTTAATCAGTTAAAATTTTCAAACAGTAGACTTATCATCATTTTAGAACAAACCTCTTTAAAGCACATGCCAAGTCTGAGGTAGGAATTTGTGTGAGGTTGTCACAATCTTATTAAACACAGTGCTAACTGCTGACCCCTGCTCCTTATAACTGCTGAGCTGTCAGTCACAAACTGTACAGACTAATGGATATCTGTCTGAATGATGGACACCAACACTCATTAGATATAACTATTCATGCTTTTCCCATCATGCTTTGCAGCTAGGAGGCCAAAAAGAAGAGTCATATCATCTGTCAGATGTTTTCTCTCCAGCACCCCAGATTTCTTTCCTGTTATATTACTCAGTAAAATCTAGTGTATAATAGAATTGTGTTTTGTAAAAATAAAACCTGCTAATTAGTGTTTTAATTTAGAACTGCTTTTTCGTGTATTTTTTATAAATGTCCGAGGAAAGAACCAAGTGCTAATACACAATGCTCAGTAAAGAAGTGATATTGTTTAACTGAGATAAAATTACTAGATTTTGTACTTCTTTATTTAAGCAACACATGAACCTTCTAACAAGCTGTGCTGATATAAAATTGCTTCCATTCCTCACATAAAGTTATAGTATGTAACTGTTTTTCAAATACTTCATTGTAGAAATACTTGTTTTCATGTGGAGAGGTGCTGTCGAAGCCTTCTGTGACTCAGACTCACTGAACAGCACTGGCAGCAGTGCAGACAGATTGGCTTCTCAAAGGTTTTGAAGAGGATTGACCTCTCTAACCAGTCAAAGATTTTCAATCATTTCTGCTTGATCGGTAAGTTTTGTTGCATTCTCATTTATTGTAACTTCATAACTGCAAATATCTAAAGAGCTGGGCAGAGCATGACAAAGAGTAGCAGATCGTAGTAGAGCATAATAGAGCAAGGAGAGGGAGTGCTGGGCAGAGCAGAATGGATTCATGCTATTGCTATCTTAAATTATATACTGTAGCTTTAGGTCTGATGTTTTTTATGCTACTGAGGGCATCAATCATAAATTGTGGTTAGTCTGTAATAGAAGATAAAACA